TGTGAATAACTTTTTCAAAATTTTTTGAGAGGCAAGACAGAAGACTATTGGGCCGGTAGGAAACTGCATCAATAGGATTTTTTCCAGCCTTGAGAATTAAGATTATTTTTGCCAATTTCCACGATGAAGGAAAATACTTCAGCCGTATTATGGCATTAAATAATATAGTTAAAAATCTCTTACCTTTATCAGAAAAGTGTTTTATTAGACCAAATGTGATCGCATCATTACCAGGAGTTTTTCCCAATTTAGTGTTACTAATCTCGTAGAGCACTAGTAATGTATGTATGTTATTATGGATTCATATTAGTTTTTTAATACTACAGGTTCATGCAGAGAGACACAACTCCAAGTTTTGCGATCAATGGAAAGGCAATACTTAAACCAAATGAGAAATCATTGGGCTACCATAGAACCAACATTACTCAAGCTATCCCCAAGCAGGTGAATATTTTTTTGCAAAATTTAAAATGTAAATACTTTTTTTAAAGTTGAGTAATTATTTCAAATCTATATATTTTTTTCAGATATAATTTAGAATCAAAAAGACTCTTCCGTGTGATATCCGAGCATAAGGTAAGAAATTCGAGCCTTGAAATCAACGAGGAACCAAAATCTCGTTGGAATCATGTTGAAACTTATTTGAAAACCGAAGACATTATTAATATGGCACCAGCAGGTACATATTTTAACAATAAACAAGGCGGACGCAAAATGCAATACGCTTAAAAGCTAAGGACCAAAATTTCAACCTGATCATATGAAGTCCTGGTCGCCGAATTTTAACATACATTTATTTTATATTACATATTTAGATACCTAAACTTCCATGTCTTATGCCTTTAATTTGTAAATATATAATACATAGTAAATATATTTATTTGTATTTTGATACTTCTAGTGTTTTATTGCTAATTTGATTAGAGATAATAATCATATGAAATAAAACTATATATGTAGTATCAATTAATATTTCACAAAATGAATATAAATACTATTGTAGGTAGAAGCATACAATTTTTAACCCGTGCATTAAAAAAAATAAATTAAAAAATTTAAATAGAAATCGTTTACTGAAAGCAATAAATCCAGGACTTCATTATTCTAGCTAGTAGAATATTTATAAAAAATATAAAAATCGAGCTTATATTTTTTTAAGCTTTTAAGACATTTTACTCAATTTATGGCCTTCATTAGCATAAATAACATAAATGTCATATATTTTATACCTTTGATAAATAAATATTCGGAATTTTTTATTATTTATTTACTATTCAGGTCTTAGCTTTGTTTGTCACGCCGATAAATTAAAAAGCTTTCTGGTAAATGCTGGTGGAAAATTAGGCAAAATGGATTTTGGACAAGTAAAAGGTGGAAGCAATCTTATAGCTATGAAATGTATGCCGTTTTTAACGGATTGCAAAATTTGGACAACACTAAAACTTAAACCAGTAAGTTTTAAGAAGTGATTATGTCGAAAATCGATTGTGTTATGGAATTCTGTAATGCTAATTTTTAGCTAAGATGTGAATATCTTCTTCCATCACGATTTATACAATTGTCGGATTACGAAGCGCTTTATATAACACCATTGTGTGAGTACAATCTTGAAGAATATATTCATGTAATTAACGGAGGAGAATCTAAATTTGGAACGGAGGTAAATATGAACTTTATTATCTGTGTTTTTGACCGAGGGTACAACTATTTAAATTAAATAATTTATTTGTAATCTTTCATCAAACACCAACGGGCATAAAAATTAAAAATCCATTAAGGGGTTGGTGTATTTTTTACATTTACTTTGTGCATGGGAGGCTCGAGGTTTCCCTACCAGTATCATAAAGTTATAGACATAAACTTTATAGTACTATAAAAATATACGTTTTAGACATATAGCATATATATGTTATATGTCTAAATTATTATTAATTAGTTATGACATTGAATTAAAAGATCTTTTTTATCGTTTATTCCAGGTGCTCATCAAACAAATGGTGATGGGATTACATGCTCTACACCAACACGATCCAATCATAATTCATGGGAACTTAAAACCGAGTAATGTTTTGATTGATTCAAAGGGATGTTTACGTTTAGCAGAGTTCGGATTACACGAGGTAAAATTAATAGTCATTCAATGAGAATTTCCGTGAATTTATTTTATCTCGCACAATTAATAATATATAAACTAATTGTTTTTATTTTAGGGGCCTAGTCTGTACACGATACCTGCTAAATTTTCGGTGTTATGGTTTGCACGAGAAAATTTGCGGTTATATAAAAAATATTACCAAATTCTTTGCACAACTCAAGCTGATATACAAGTTAGAATATAATAGATAAAATTACGTATTGATTAAGCAAAATGTCTGTTTTGTCAAATTTTTATTGCACTTTTCAAGGAAAGTACTGTGCTCGCCATTTTGAACTTTTGACATAACGAATTTATTAAGACATAGTTTTTCTTATGTAAACTAAAGATAGAATTGTTAATTTTTGTTAACTTACTTATTTGCTATTCCTCTTGTTTCAGTTAAATTATAACTTTAGCACAGCATTTAATATTAACACAACTAAACTAATTAAACTGTTTAGAACTAAACTCACTGACATTTGAGTATGTACTGAATCGTATTCAAAAAAATACAATGACATAATTTTAGTGTTGCCAACATTATGCTTATTTATCTATGGTTGCCAATTCCTGTTTCATTACCAACCATAATTTACATTTATTTTATACATTATCTTATTAACTCTGCATTATTAATTATGTCTAAACTAAAATTTTAATCTAGACTCTCGGCATGCTGATGTATTTTTTATCAAGTGGTGGCCTGCACCCATTTGGAAACGACTTAGAACAAATAGAGACGTCCATTGCAAATGGAATTCCTCGTGTACAAACGACTTGCTGTGATTTTAAAGATTTGGTACTATGGACATTACATTCAAACCCTTTCGATAGGCCAACGACAACGGAAATTTTAAAGTAAGTCAGTTTTTTCACCAGCCAATACTACTAAAATATTAGAAAGGTATAAACACAGAATATATTATAGGCACGTTTACTTCTGGGATCCAAACAGACGTTGGACCTTCTTGATGATGTGCTTAAGTCTACCCATACAGCAGGAAGGAAGAGAAATTTTGCTTCAAAATTTTCACGACGAAATTGCATTCTTAGCGAATAAATTTGAAGTTCGTGGAGATTGGTATTCGATAGTTAAAAGAGATTTTGCAAAGGTATGGAAATATAACTGCATTAAAATTTCCCAACTAAGACCTAATCCTGAATGTATCAATATATTATTTAATATGTGTGATTTATATATTTTAGTTGCCAGAGCTTAACTGTGACCAATGGTGCCCAATTAGTTTAATAAAATTTATTGGCATGTGTATGAAATCCAATCCGAATGATTTGCAGATTCGTGATTATTTTCTAACAACATTTCCTGCACTACCACTCGCTATGAATCGGTTAGTTCAAGCAACAAAATGGATTAAAGATAAACCTTTTTCAAAATTTCTGGAAAAATATTAAAATGTTAATAACATTTAAATGTTATTAACATTTTATTACTAGTAAATTCTATTGTGATGTATTTACTTTTACTTTTTTAATATAAAGTATGGCTAACTGTTGTTTTTTCATTAATTGTATAACTGATTTTTAACCAATTCAATATTGGTATTGGTTTTCAAAATAATAGTGTTTTTCCTAAATTATTCTAATCTAATATTCAATACAACTCAATTAGATTCAGCATTTTTTATTTATTACATAAACGTTTTCATATAACATATGCATTAGATTCTTTATAAGTAATCACATCTTACAATAATTAAAAACTTATATCATATATATTGAGTAAAGCATGAACATAATATGCATTAATATTAAAACAAATAAAAATTTTAAAACTCATTTCACTCAAATCATTCCATTCACATCAAAATTCATATTAGCATTTTCGTTTAATTTACAATAACTGATTTATACAATTTTCATTATCTATTAATTTTCAATATTTACATAAAATTTACACATCCAAGCATGTGATGAATAAAATATAACTTTTATTAAAATATAAAATATAACTTTTTTTAAAAACTATACTATAATTATAATATTGGAAATTTCATTTAATTTGAAAATAATCTAAAAGTGAATGAAATGGGAAACTTGCATGAAATTAAAATAAAATATTAATCTTAAAAATGATATTAATCTATTTGTTAATAGATCATGAAAGATTCCCATTGGAGACCAAATTTAACATTAATAATTATTATTAACTTAAGTAATAAAGTAATATATTATATATTGCATATAAACATGTTTAATATTAGTATAAATGTCTTACATTTGTAATAGTCATTCTTTGGCATTAAGATTAAGAAATGCATTTAATTTTCACTAGCTTCACAACAAAAGGTTTCATTTTTTTTTAATGTTTAAGCACATGTCATATGTAATTGTATCTATAATTATTAAAATTTTATTTCAAAGAATGAAGGTAAATTTATCTTTATAGAAGATAATAAAAGGATTTGAATATTTTCAAATTTGTGGATTGACAACAATATTTAAAAAAAAAAATGTTGATTGATGGAATATACCTATCCCACTTAATTCTAACTTATTGCATTCACCTGAATTACTATTAAATTAATAACTGGGTGTGTCATAATTATTTATCACATATAAATTTGGACAAGAATTAAAGCTGATTTCTAATACTACATCAATTATATATTAAGTCAATAAATGAAATTTATAAAATTCTACTTAAATTCTGCTTTCCTAGAATATTTTTTTAGAAAGTCTATATTACAAATTAATACATGCTTTTCAAATTATAAAAATAATATTTAAATTTAATTTTAATTTCAAGTTCTTTTGTTAAATGTAAAATTGAATTATATATATGAACTATATATTCAAAATATTAAAAAGAACAGATCTAATCTCAAAAAAATAGTAAGGGTCAAGTACAGTATATTTATCGATCTTTTCTCTTAAGCAGTAAATGTAAATACAACAAAACTTCACTTTAATATTCAAATATATTTAAAGCTGCAGCTGAAAAATAATATCTTCACTCGCCTCTACATACTTACAGTTAATCTCACAATACTACAGCACCGGCTTCAGATCTACTTTCTGGTAAATCTGGACATGCAGTCCATTGATTTGTGAGAGGGTTATAAGCTTCCATGCATGTAATAGTGATTTGTGCACGATAAAAATTAACTTCAATTGTTTGATCACCACCAGCAACATATAACAAACCATTAGCTGATGCTACTGCTGGACTAGCACGGCAAACACACATAGGAGCTATGTTCGTCCAGGTCCCCTGTAAATAATATAAAACATAATCAGGCAAGCACAATAGATGATTTTAGAACTATGAAAACTTGGAAATTGTGGCCAGGCATTATTTATTTTCTAAATCTTTAAAATATTGTTCATTGCTAATTATGTAAATGATTACTAAAATGTTACCTTATCAAAATCATATTTTTCCACTGTTCGAAGTACTTCTGAATGACTTCCATTACCCCCCACAACATAAAGACATCTATCTAGAACAGCTACGCCCATTTGGGACCTTGCTTTTGACATTGAAGGAAGCTTATTCCATTCACCAGTAATTGGATTAAAACTGTAATGTAATCATAAATAAGAAATAAATCCTCAATACAAATAAGAAATAAGAAATACATAATACATAAATAAGAAATAAATCCTTGTATACAAACAAGAAATAGATATTTATAGAAGATAGATAAGTACCTGATCAAATCAGGTAAATGTCTTCTTGAGTTTGTACTACCTCCAACAATATAAATTAAGCCCTCAAATGTAACTACTCCCATTGAAAACCTAGGTTCTGGCATATCACCACATAAATGCCAAACATCAGTGTAAGGATCATATCTGAAAATATTGAAAAAAGTTCATGATCAAAAAATATATTTTTTTATATATGTTAATTCAATATTTTGCTTTTCTTATTCAATATTCTCATATAAACTATTCAAATGATTTTCTTACCTTTCAATAGATCCTCCTATATCTTCACCAATCCATCCCCCGATTGCCCATAGAGAATTGTTTAAAGCACATAAACCAAATTCGCATCTTGGAATGACCATTGGAGCCATATGGGACCATGTTTCTGTCTGAAATAAACAGGCATATTTAATTATATATATATATATATATATATATATATATATATAATATTATGTTAAGTAAAATTTCTAAATTTGGTATTATGTAATAAATTTTTACCTGAGTATCATAAACTTCCCCATTAGCTAAAATCTGTGAGCCAAGCTCACCACCTACAACATAAATATAATTTCTTAAGGATGCTACGCCCGGTAAAATTCTGCCAACAGTCATGGATGGCGATTCTAACCATTGTCTGAAAATTATATTAGAAAGTTAAATTATTTAATAACACATATTTTGGTACTCATCAAAAACTCAATTTAATTGTTAATTAATGTAATGTTTAATTATAGTTACCCTCTAAAAGTATCAAATTTGGCTACAGAGTCAAATATTGCATCTGTATTTTTATGCCATCCACTTGTTGTTTCCCTTTTTGATCCGCCAATTATATAAATATGTTTTTTAGCACATTTACGTGGAGCTGCATTCAATGTTACAAACAGACCTTTTTGAGAAACCTATGATAAGGTTTTTAGATAAGTTACACAATTTCAACTACAAAACAATAAAATTATAATATAAAGATATTTTACCAAGTCCTTCACTATAGATCTTAGTGCAACTTTTAAGGAATCATCTCTGCATTCATCTAGTGTTCTTTGTAATAACTGTATAGGCATCAAAGCAATTCGAACATGTCTTAAAACTTCAAAAACATGTCGTCTTCTTCTGGGAACATCATATGATACCCAACGAATTGCTGCTTCAAACACCTGAACAAAATATTATTTTATTAAAATTATTATTTGCTTATTGTTAGTACAAAGATGGAACAAAGTTATTAAGTAATTTGAAACTCACTTGATATTCACTATCTACACGAATTAGTTCCGAAGATAATAATCTAGTCAGTAAATTCAAGGGTAAATCTAGAAGCTCATCTTCTTTACAGACCTAAAGATTACAGAATAAATTTATAAATTAAAAATTAAATTAAACTATTTGACCATTATATATATATATATATATATATATATATATATATAAATGACTTAAATTGTAACTATTGAATTTTAATAAAGTTCTATTCTATTCTATTCTATTCTATATATATATATATATATATATATATATATATATATATATATCAAAATACTTCATTTATCATACTTGAGGAAAGTTTGTATTAACATAGTCATTAGCATAGCGAACAAGATCTGTGCAATGATGAGCTTCAGCAAATCTTAAAATACCCAATGCGTTGCTTGGATGTATTTCTAATTGTAAAAAATCTGTACAACCTTGAACAACCTGCAATAATGTAATTTTGGATATAGTTGGACTGCTAGATTTTTTAAACAAATAGAAATTTAACAAATACCTCTTGCAACTGTAACATATCGGCTGCTGACAACAATTCTTGTACATTGCTTTGTGATATTTCTACTCTGCCTGTATAAATGAAATCGATTAACAAATTCAAGATATCGGGATCTAATGTATGCAATGTGACTAAATCCTTTTGTTCTTCACTCATTCCTGGACGAAACATAGCTTCAAAATAAGCACTACTAGCTGATAAAACTGCTTTGTGTGCATTAAATATTGTTCCTCCTGCTCTCAATTGAATGTCACAAAACCTTGAATCATTTCTGAGATTATTTAGGTTCATTAAAAGTTTTTGGGCATGTTGAGTGCTCGTATATGGCTTTCTCTCAGCCGCGGGCGTGGGAGGCGGAGCGCCTGGACAATTCTCTGGATAAACTTTACAAGTCTTTAATGGAGGCATTATTAAAAAAAAACTACAAAATAATCATTCAGAATTATGGTATCACAAAATCAGACACAATATTGTTTTAAACATATTACGCACTATTTATAAACAGGATATCATATTTTTTTAGTTTAAAGTTCAAACAATTTATGTCAAACTAGACCACTCCCATAAATAACTTTTCTATTTAAAATTAAATTACTTATCAATAAATTGCCAAATAAAAATAATAAGATTTAAACAAATAATAAGTTATTTCATATTTATTCAATATTTATGCTTGTGTTAAAAGATCTTTATCATTCCTTGAGAAAAAAACGTCAAAACTACTGTCAATATGTCATACTGCACTAATAGCCAACAACTCCAGAATTGCATATATCGTTGTGCTAATTTTATTTTTAAATATAATATCAGGAAAATGTGGTACACACAGTTTTAAAGAATTAATCTGTTTTAATAAAATTAAATGACGAATTTAATTCAATTATGGAATTTATTACTTAATTAAATTAACAAACTGTAGTATAACTTCAGAGTATTTTTGACGAACTGTCAAATCAATTATCTGTTTAGCATTTACTTTTGGGATTTCGACTCAAGAATATAATATTGCTAAATCTGTCTAAATCTTATTTATCATCCTAATAATAAAAATACTGAAAAATTATTCGCTTTTTTATGAATCGATATTTATTTCGGTTTTGACTTTTAAATTTCAATATTTCAATACCATAACCTTCCATATTGCATGTTGGGTTTTTCTGTTTGTTTTATTTACAAACAATATATTTCAACTGTGATTTAAATTATCAAATTCTAGGAATATTGGTTAAGCAAAATTTTATTATTAGCTTTTTCTATGTGATTCTAGTTAATTATAATAGAATGCTCGCTGCAACATTCTTAGGTAATTCATGCAAATATGAAGACAATATATTACCTTATTCAAATGTAAATTTTAAAATTTACTCAATGATCAGTTATTTAAATTTGTAATTTTTATAGGGATACAACCAATTTATTTTTTTATTTGTAGTATTTAATTTTTCTGCATAATACACAACATTTGTAGGTGATGTTGAAAAATTAAAATTTTTGGACAGAGAGGGAAAACGGCCTGATATCGCAGATAATCATGGATGGACCTCACTGCATCATTCTGTGGCAAAGGCCTATGTTGATTGTGTGAACTTTTTTCTTGCTCCAAAGTTTTCAGAGTATAATCTCACACAGTTAAAAACACATGAAGGAGAAACCGCTCTTTTTATAGCTTGTTCCGTTGCAATTGAAAATTTAGGTATTTGAAAATGCACATGAGATAAGATACAATATAATATTAATAGTAAGCTAAAAAGTAATTTTCAAATCACTTAAAAAGAGGTTGTTAATACTACACAATTAGTTTGAGTTTTAGCAAATACATATCCTTTTATTTCATGAAATTTTCATCCTTGAACTATTCTCTTTTAATTTAATTTAGATATAGTGCAGCTGCTACTCAATGCAGATCCAGATTGTATTGATATATCAAATAATGAGTTAGAAACACCTTTGCACATTCTTTGCAACAAACAAAAACGTGTATATGTTGAATTATTAGTAAATGCTGGATCAGATCTAGATGTTCAAGATTATGCAGGAGATACTCCATTACATATTGCTGCTATGAATGCAGATTATAAATGTCTTGAAATTTTGTTATTTGCTGGTGCTGATGCATCTTTAACAAATGATAGTAAATATACTCCTTTACATCTTGCTGTTATGAGCAAATGCAAAATTTGCATCAAATTGATATTACAATTTATTTGTGCAGAAGATATTAACAGACAGAGTATATATGGTACAACCGCTTTAATGATTGCTGCACAGCATGATAATAAAAATATAGTACAAATGCTTTTATTAAAAGGAGCTAATCCACATATACCAGATCATGATGGCAGACTTCCACTACACTTTGCTAATGCTGCTCTAGAACCATTGTTAAATAGTATGGACGTAAACTCAATTTTAACATTGAGTTACCAAAAGTTTAACTTTAATTGTGATATAAAAAACACTAGACTTTTTGAAAAGCGACCAGAAATATTTGCATTGTTTGCGGTTGATTATTTATGGCAATTTGGACTGCAGATAAAAATCATTGCATATTAATTATTCAGGTGTTGCTATCACACCTATCATTAAATTATGATTTTCAATATAGTAATTTGCCTAAATTCAATCTATATCATCCGACAGATTTTGTCAAGCTTTTAGAAATTGCCGAGATGTTTGGTGTGTTATGGACAAAGATTAGCATTTTGTGGCATGATATCAATATTATCAATCCACACTCCATATGTATAGAAGTAGAAATTCCTATAGAAATTTGGGCTTTACGAGCATTATCTACAGTAAGCCCACTTTATTCACCTTATTATATATTGAAGAGAAATAAAGGTAAAAAATGGAATAAACTTTCACTACCAGAAACTTGGGAATTAGAATTTGTTGACGACACATTGACACCGAAATTTTTCAGTCTCAAACATTTATCACGGTGTGTTATCAGAAGACTTTTTTGCAATTTAGGCTTTGTGTCCTATAATAAATTTCAACAAAAACTAAAAGAACTCGATTTACCAACTTGTCTATCTTTATATATTCAATATATGGAAGGCATCAATAAATGATAACATTGTATTAGTTTAGATTTATATTGAATTGAAATAAAATACAAAATTCTAACAATATTTAAGCATTTATATATTGAACAATAAATATTGTTTCCTAAATACAAAACCGTCATGTAATTAAAACATGGATAAAATATTACTTTTAATGAAATATTTTTTTATAAACTTTAAATTAAAATTACTCTTGCAACAAAATTAAAGCTTTACTCTTGGTTCTTATCCTTCTTTTTCTTCTTCTTCTTTTTAGGTTCTTCTGTGTCACCATTTTCTAATGTTTCGTCAGCATCACCATTATTATCCCCATTTTCTTGAACAACTTCTTCAGATTCTTCATGTTTACGCTTCTCTTTTTTGGCTTTTTTCTTCTTCTTTTTCTCAGAAACTGAAAGATCGGCTTCGGCTTCAGCTTCAGGAATTTGTTGAGCTGCTAATTCAATAGCTTCTTTCATAACATCAATGTTCTTAGCAGGAACATCACCAGATTCATAAAACTTCAATCTATCTTCAACTTGCTGCCTAAGCTTTTCCCCAAAAACACTACATAGATTCTCTGTAAAAAATACAGTGAATCAAAGACCTATATTGAATATTGAACCAAGTGATAAATGAAAAATTATCAATGTTGCAGAAATTATCTGGTCTAAGCCAAAAAAAGCAAGTACCAATAATTTTTAATTTCTAGTCATTGATGTAGCAGGGTTATCACACTTGTAAAATAAAAACATTGACAAGCTCTAGACTCTGCTAAAAACAACAAAATTTAGCAAGATATTTGTTGAAATATATTAAACAGAATTTTTGAATAAATACTTTACATAGTTGCATAGCAAACAATTAGGTACCTGAGAAACAGTCAATTCTTGATGCAATAGTACACTTGTTAGCTAAGTATCTCGATATCCTTCCCTTATTTTTCATACCAGCTCTGCCTATGAATGTAGAATGAAATAGCAGACCATATTTTGGAGTATTACCCCTGGTCTTCAAAGCACGGAATAAAGCTTTCTCAGCGCCCAAAATTTGGACTGTGGAGGCAGGATATTTAGCTAGATTTGTTAAACTTCCTGCATGAGCTATAAGCCTTGCGCCCACTTGATCACCAATTAAAGTAGCCAAATTTGGTGCCACACCTACCATTTTGGAATGTAAGTAATTGGCCAACTGCTTCCTGTTTAATATTAAATTGAGTCAATATGCTATAATTAAATTAGTAATTCAACATTATGAAATGTAATGAAAGTGTGCCAGAAATTTATTAAAATCAGAACAAATTAATAAAATTTGTACAATTATTGAAATTTCTGTTTAATATTTTGCAGAAATTCTACACTTGAAAAACTAGTACAAACATTTTGCAAGCTCTAGTTTCTGCAAATAATGTACTATAAAATTTTATATGTAGAATATACCTGTAATCAGATAATCTAACTACTCTGCCTGCAAACATTTCTATATTCATCAAATCAACAACACTGATGTCCATTCCCATTGATGACTTAGATGCATCAATTATTGCTTGAGCTTTAGCTGAATCCATGACTATTTCTTCCAGAGCTTCTAAACTATCTTGTGTTAAAGTCTTACGATCTTTAATTACTTGTGTAACTTTAGCAAACATGTAGTTATCAGGAACAATTTTGACCAACTCTGGGAAATGGTAAGAATACCATTCGCTGTAAAATTTCAATGTATTATTTCACTGTAATTTTATATTACAGTAGCGTAATGCTGTTTCTTATATATATTCAAATAAAATCTCACCGTATTCTCATGGAAAATGTATTAACATCTTTATCAAGTTGATCCAATAATGCTATTGATTGGATAATCATGTTATCCACACGATTAACATTAAATTTAACTTTGGCCCTGGAGTAACTATGACCTAAACCAAGTTGAGCTACACCTGCAGACTTTTCTGTGAATCCTTTTACCAAGTTTGGAAAATGAAAACGAATACCTGCAACAAAATTAGTTTTAAAAAACATTGTATTTAATAGTAATACTAAGGCTAAATCTTATATACAAGATTCTAAAAGCAAATTTATTACCTCTTATGATTTCGGGTACTGGTCCAATGTGATTACATTGTATGCTAAGTGCTTCAGTAATTGCAGCGCCTAATTTTGCATCTGCAACACCCAACGTCAATTTTTCTTTCTTCCCAGGTTTTGGTAAAGTAGTATCCAAAAATAATAATAAATCTTTTGGTACTATACCTGATGAAATAATAGGATAATTAATGTCATATCTCTCCAGATTTTGTATCAAATATTAACTATAAATTGCATTAAAAATACAACGAAGCATAGTTGATATTTCATTTTTATATAAAATAACGTCACAAACCTTCTGAAATACTATTGATATTTTCTAAAGCGCTAACTGCTGTCTTGAATGGAGAAAACCCGACCAGCTTCACAATAGCATTGAATCTTGATAAATCAGTAA